CAAAGCCGACCCATTGCTAAGCTACGTCAAGCCAAAACATTGCTGCTGCTACTAAACCCTATTCAAACCTCATTTACTCTGCGTCAAGACAAACATGAGCAGTTTATCGTCACTCCTGTTCGCTCGCTGCTACCTAGCCAACAAGAGCGCGCAAATTTGAACGTCGCACGCTGGAGTTTGTTTTGAAGAAGAGCAATAAATTGATATCTGGATGCACTATAAGTCCTATAGTGTGGTTTCAAAAATACGAAACACTTTGTCAAGAATCTCTAATACGGTTTTGCACGAACAAACGTTGAAATGTTGTTATATTTAGTAATAAAGTGTTAAGAAATTAGTAGTGAAGTAACTACATATATGGTAAATATGCCAATAACTATTCATTATAACCCCCGACAAGGATCTAAAAAAAGGATGTACACACAACATCAATCGCTATAATTGATTTAAAATTAACGAACAATAAAAGTAAAACAAATAACAGTTTTCCACGGAACTGAAATTGTGATTCAACAACACGACTATGAGTATATTTGCACAGATATATTTGTTGTAATAGTATTTGTAAGTAGTGTTCTTCTCCGTAATAGTCATGCTGGAATTCCATATGTACATGAAATTAATTCAATTACTCATACTGAAACATCGATGCAAACAAAGGTGTGTTTACACACTGGGATCTATACGATTATTTGTACAACTGCACTGTTTTATTTTTGTCTATTAAATCACTCATAGTCACTCTCAAATGATCAATTATAACTTAATACATTATTACTAGAAAAATAAAAGGTGGAAGAAAATAAAAATAGAAAATATTGCGCTTATGCCCCCTCAAAAATACTGTTTAAAATGTACGTACCACTGAAAACATTATGTTTGTGTCAAACTGATGAAGAACTGAAAGAAATACAAAATGACGACAAGATCTTTCGACGTGCTTATACTTGCAGCATAGAAGCGGTCGCCAGCTGAATTTCTCTTGCACTCTCGCAGAATATGTACATGACGGTTTTAAATAGCCCCTAAGCTGCTTATGAATTTTGTTGATCGATGTTTGAAGAATATGTAGGAAATTTGACATTGTAACTCTCGTTTTTCTTTATTGCTTTTTTGGTGTGGAAAATAGCATATTTTACACATTTCCAAATGTTAAATCGCCTATATTATATCGTCGTATTATTCTCTATTATTGTACTTCTTTATGATATTGTCTTATCTATTGGCCCTACGGGCTGGGCCTTAGAATTTGTCCCTGGCGGGAAAACTGCCGGTGGTAAAAGTCCATCATGTGTCCACACTTCATAACATCTAAGCTCTACCATCTGAACAACCTGGCTTAGATAAGTAAATCACTACCGTGTTGAGTCTTTATTGTTGGATTTTCCCACATAGCTGTTCCTATTATCGAGTGGTGATTTAAGTTATGCGATATACTGAATATTATTATCCTTACCTTTTACTAGAGGGATTAGTTGCTTACTCTTGCCTTACTTTGTCACATCCATCCGTCTATGTGAAGGAGGGTAGGAGTTTGTCGATTGATAACTCCCTTTGTTCAGTATAATTCTTGAATTACGTTGTTTTATCTTGTCTTGTCTTATCTTACGTTCTGTTCTGTATATTGTAATCCATTTGATATCTTGTTTATTTTGCTCTTTTTTCTGTTACATAAATTTCGTCATCTTTGTGATATTCTCCTTTTGTTTGGTGGTCAAGCAAAACAAGTTCCGACTAACATCTCGGGGAGTTGTGGCCTAGTCCGTCCCAATTCACTGGCGCTCTTAACCCACCCCCCTTTTTTTTTTTTTTTCTTGGGGGGAAATCACCAAGAGATACCTGAGACCGGATATCTAGTATCCGCATTCAGGTTATGCCACCTGGGCTAAAACCCCCTCCCCCACCCTCATGCTGGGATTCGCCTGCGCTTACTACCAGCATGACTGTGTCTCACACATGTCTTCGTTTCCTCAGCGGTATCTGCAGTAAAATTTCCATGTATATGTCCTAGGAGTTTGGGCTGTCCGTTCTTCTTTCATCCTTGTCTTTAATTGATAGTATTTCCCTGACGAATCTTTGTATTTGTATCCACGATTGTTTGTTCGCCATCATGGTGCTGGTCAGATTACTCTCCGTCAGAGCGTGTCCTAGACTAACAACGACTTGTGCCCTTTGTCGCTCCCATCTGTTGCACTCGAAGAGAGTGTGTGCAACTGTGTCTTTTTCTTGACAGTACATGCATTCATCGCTGTCTGATTTCTGTATTCTCTTCGTGAATACTCGAAAAGTACCATGCTGCGTTAGTGCCTGCGTTAGGTGATAGTCCAGTCGCCTGTGCTTGCAAGCAATCCACTTCCCGATGTCAGGTATTATTTTTTTTGTCCACTGAGCCACGTCCTCCGTTAAGTGCCACTCGTCCTGCCATTTACTGATGGTGACCTCGCGCTCCTCCCTTCTGGCCCTCGCGGTTCTCCCATCTTCCCGGCGGTGCAGTCTCACTCTTTCTTCCACAAGCAAGTGGATCGGTGCTATCCCTGTAATAATCTGTAAGGCCTTCGTGGAGACCGTCTTGTAAGCACTCGCCACCCTCAGCAGCATCTTCCTTTGCACTCCGTTGAACATTTGCCTGTATCTAGTAGTGCTCATAATGTCGTGCCAGATTGGGGCGCCGTAAAGTAATGTTGAAAGCACCACGCTATTTATAACCTCCCTCTTGTTGCTGGTAGGTCCGCCGATGTTTGGCATAATTCTTGCTAACGATGCTGCTTTTTTGTCTGCTTTTGCTGCCGTTGCCCGAATATGCTCCCGAAAGTGGCCTCCTTCTTCTAAGTGAATTCCTAGGTACTTAACAGACTTCTTTGGTGTTACGGAAGTTCCTCTGCAGTTAAAAGTAATACCTGCTTTTCTCCGCTTCCCCTTTATGATGACAGCTTCTGTCTTCTCCGGTGCGAGTTCGAGGTGATGGGCCGTCATCCAGTTGTCCACTATCCTCAGGGCTAAATTTGCCGCATGCATAAGGGCCTCCTCATCCTGCGCTAGCACTATCACTGCCAAGTCGTCCGCGAACGCAGCGGCTTTTACACCATATGGCCATTTACTCCTCAGTACCCCATCGTAAACCAAATTCCATAGAGTAGGGCCCAAGACTGAGCCCTGCGGTACCCCGGATGTTATGTCTAAAGTCTCTTCTTTGGCTATCTGGAGTGACCTTCCACTGAGGTAGGCACCTACGAGATTTCGGAGGTATGGTGGTATTTTCCTTGTTCTCAGCTCCTCCATTATGTTTTGCCACGGTAGCGAGTTGAAAGCGTTTTTGACATCGACTGTGATGAGAACGCCCCATGTTTCCCTGCTGCCCTTAATGGTTTTAAGGACTGCGTCCACTGCCATCAACGTATTTCTACCTTTTCTGAAACCATATTGGAACTCTGATAGGCCACCCTTGTAATCGATTTCCTTCTGTAGCCTAGCAAGTATCAATAACTCATATAGCTTGCTAATTGTCAAGAGCAAGCAAATGGGTCTGTATTTGTCTTTTCCTTTCGGTATCAGTAAGAGTTTGGCCCGTTTCCAAGATTCCGGAAAGCTCTGTGTGGTGAGAAGGTTGTTTAAAAATCCCAATACCCAGGTTGGTGACAGTTTCGAAGCCTCTTTAATTGCTTCTGGGGGTATACCATCAAGACCAGGGGCTCTACCCATTTTGAGTTTTTCTATGGCTTGTTCGAATTCCTCTTCCGTGAACATGTCTACGTTGTTGACCGTTTCTGTGCTGTAGCTCCTAACTGCGTGTGGTGGGAACAGTTCTTCTGCTATCTCCTTCTTTCGTTCTTTTGTCATGCTATAGGGCGCGAAACATCGGAATTTTTTCATGACAATCCGATATCCGTCTCCCCATACGTCCTCGTTAATGCTGTCACAAAGTTCGTTCCAGTGTTTTTTCTTGGACTCTTTGATCATTTGCTGAAGCATTTTTTTGTGGCTTTTATACAAGGAGCTAGCTTCTTCGATGATCGCTTCCGGATGTCTGTGCCTGTGTTTGACGAGCCTCATGATGGTTCTACGTGCCTTGTGACACTTCTGTCTCTGTTGAGAGATATCGTTGCTCCACCAGTAGGGCATTCCGCTATGATTGCTATTAGTTGTGAGGCTAGCATGGTAAGCTTCTTTAATGGTGGCAGTAAAGTTTTCCTCTGTATGCGGCTTTTCTGGGTATTCTACTAGCTTGGACGAGAGTACCTGTCTAAAGACTTCCCAGTTACAAGTCTTGGTCGAGCCCCAGGATTGAGCTCTTTTACTGCTTAGCTGCTTATCTACCTCAAAGTATATATACTTGTGGTCCGTCATGCTATCCTCATCGAGGACGCTCCATTTCTTCATGTTTGCTGCGATCTTCTGTGTCGAACATGTGACATCTATATAGGATTCTGTGCTACCTCTAACAAAAGTGGGGTTATCTCCGGTGTTATGCACAACCATGTTTGCAGCAGCAAGGCATTCAGAAAAGTACGTTCCTCTACTATCTGTGAATGGGGACCCCCACTCGACGCTCTTTGCGTTTATGTCTCCCAAGAGCACGCATTCCCTTCTTGATGTGACAATTTCAGATAATATCTTGTCAACCAGATCCTGAAACTCATTTATCGGAATGTTTGGAGATATGTAGCAACAGTATAAGGTGCAAAACTCGAGGTGTAGGCCCAAAAAACCGTCGTAGTACTTTATATCTTTAACCGTCACTTCCCTATTTCTAAAGTACACTGCTACGTCCCCTCTTTTGTCGCTGATCCATTTTTGAGCTTTTATGATGGTCTTATTGGGTTCCCCCACTATCAGTAGGTCTATGTTATACTCGGCTACCGTGGCAAAGGCTATATCGTGGGCTGCTGTTTCTCTGCCTAAGTTCGTTTGCAGTATTCTCAAGCTTTTCCGTGGATTTCGTTTAAACCTGTTTGTAGCATTACCTTCGACAGTCCGTGGCATTTTTTTTTCTTTACTTTACTTTACTTGCGGAAGCTGCCTCTCCTCTTTGCTTTATCCTCCACCATCCTCCTATACTTAGGACATCTGGTTGAGTCGGAGCGGTGACCGGCTTCTTGACAGGAAGAACAAAAAGGGTCCGTTTGGCAGTCTTTCGCTTTATGGCCCATTTTTCCGCAGCTCAGACATTCTCCCGATCTATCCCTGCCTGTGCATCCATTTTGTGTGTGTCCGAATTCCAAGCATCTGTAACATCTGGTTACAGCTATTCTCTCACGGACTCTGCATGCCACCCAGCCTATCATCAGCTTGCCTCTGTTGCTTAGGACTTTCGCCAGATGCTTTGATAACCTGACAGTTGCAATTCTATTTCCATCTCTGGTGGGCCTCATATTCAACACCTTCACTGGTGCTGCTCTGTCTACTTGGGTTGCCTCGTAAATTGCTTCCTCGATCTCCTCCTCGGTGACTGTAGGGTCTATATCGCTGATGTGTACAGTGGCATCGTTATTGGCTAGCGATACACCTACATCCTTGAGCTGGGCGGCAATTTCTTTTTTAAGGGAGTCTGCCTTCTCATCACCCCCTTCCACGTTCAGCAGTAGGTCTCCTCTTGCGGTCTCTCTTATGTTCCTGACTTTGACACCGATTTTCCCTAAATCGATATTCTGCTTCACTGTCTTTAGGAGATCGGCGTACTGCCGGCCCCCTTTCTTAACGATCACCGCTTGAGATTGGGCTTGTGTTTTACTTGGCCAGGGTCTGCTGTGCTCTCGGTCTTTTCCTCTGGCTGTCATCAGCTTTACCTCGATGTCCGCTTTGTAAAACACGTACTCTAGGATCTTCCTCACGTATGATTTGTTTATCCCATCATCCGGTATAAAGGTGATCTTTTTCCGACCATGAGTCTGCACCGTTCTCTTGCTATCTTCTACGAGTTTATGTACCTCCTTCATGTTGTTTACTCCATTTTTGTCTATATCGATAGGTAGGATGTAAACAAGTTGGCTTTTCTCTTCGTCTTTGTTCCTGAAGTTTATCTTTGTGGTCTTCTCGAAGTACTCTAACTGGCCTTCTGTTACACCGCCTTTCATGATCTCGCTTATTTCCGGGTGCCTTCCGCTTATTTCCTTTAGTAGTCCTTTCATATTCGCCGGTTTGGCGTCCGCGATTATTGCTGTGACATCTTCTACGGGTATGTCTGGTGGAGCTCCATGAATATGTTTGACGGCCCTGTAAGCTCGTTCTGGCCATTTCCTGTCTAGCAATTTCGCAAATTGTTCAAAGTTTTGGCTCTTATCTAAGATGTCTATTATTTCTTTGCTCTCTTTAGACTCTCTTTCTTCCATTTCCGCCTTTACATCCGCGAAATTTACTTGCACCCCAACGCTTGTTGTGCTTTTTGGGCTCTCTTCCTTTCTCGGTGCCTTCCGGTCTCTCTCGGTACTTTCTTGGTCAATCTTTAGATTTAGTGACTCCATTATCTGGTTCAGCCTCATAATCTCCTTCTTGATATCTCCCTGCGTGTTTGGAGTAGTCTTTATGAGCTCTCTTAACGTAGAGGCGGTTTTCGTCACCTTCTCTATAAGTTTTTTCATTTCCTCACCATTGTCTTCTTCGCTTCTACGTCGTTTTCCTGATTGGGAAGGTGCTCTACGCCTGAGTACTTCTTCAGTTGCATTTGACGTCCCTTGGTTGCTCTCTTCTGTGCCTCTCTGTTGGCTATGTATATCAGACCACGAAGATGATCTGTTCCTGCCAGGCGGTGACCTTTTCATTTTGTCTCTTCTTTTGAAAGGGTCAACCTCCTCTCGATCCTGTCTTTCATATTGTGTTTTTTGAAGTTTATCCATCTTGTTCCCACGAGTAGCTAGGGAAGAAATCTGTCCGCTACCACAGAGCCCCGCATGTGGCAGTAAGGCTATTTTCCCTGGCGGGTCGCCTAGTCCACCAGGCATCGCTTAGAACACACTTCTCTCCCTGTGCCATGCAGCCCCTCGGCACGATGGTGTTACACCTTGGACTTGGGAGGATTTTTTTTCCAGGGTTTACTCCCTTAGAGCTTCCGTTTCACAGCCATGTCATCATCAAGTCATAGAGAGTCCATGTCATCGCCCTGTCGTCATATCCGTTCTAGTGTGTCGTCCTTCCATTATTCCAAAAAAACGTTTCGTGGTCCACGGCCAGGTCGTCTTATGAATTCTTCGGGTCAGTATCCCTAGACCGGCTGCCTTCACCGCGGCTTTGGGAGTCCGGTCTACCCCTTTGCCCTGGGTGTGGGTTCTCGCGACCGGGGTTGGTCACCCGATCTTGGTCATCCAAGAACCCAGGGGTCCCAGCTCGTTTAGCACCTATCCGGGGTGCACGTGTGGCATGCTTCGGTGCGCCACTTGTGTGACGGCCACGGACGCGAGCTGAGCTTCACACCCCTCTTAACCCACCCCTGCTCTGCGCTTTATTGAGCTAGTGCCTAAATTTGCACGCCACTAGACAACTGTTTTGCTTGGATCAACCGTTAGATAGTATTTATCATTGTGTTTTATTAATTAACCAAAAAAAAGGCGAGGCACATGCTTCTGCTATCCAATATGCCACATTAATGAGGTTAATCTCTTTTAAACAATCAACGAGGTTACATGCATTATCAACTCGATCTTAAATTTGCTCTAATAACAAACGTCTGTAATTGCGTTTTAAATTTTCTAAAACTCCTTGATCCATTGGCTGAACCATTGACGTTACATTAGGAGGCAAAAAAATCAATCGTATTTCTCCACTTTTAAGTTGCTTCTCGCTTGGATGGCTCGGAGCATTGTCTAATAGCAAAATACATTTTCTCGGATATCCGCGCTCATTCTAATATCGTTCTGTCTTGGGGACAAAATGATTGTAAAACCAGTCCTTAAATAGAGCGGCATCCATCCAGGCAGTTTTTTTATTTTTATACCACACTGGAAGAGCGTTCGAACAGACGTATTTAAATGCTCTTGGTTTAGCTGATTTTCCGATTAACAACAATGGAAGTTTCTGTGTACCGAAAGCATTGCCACAAGCAAGGATGAATGAATGAATGAATCTGAAAATTAGAGGCATCCCGGCCACCATAAGGAGCCAGTGCATAGGCCGCTTAAGCGGGCCCTTATGCACCTCTACAATCCTTAAATCACAACCCTCGCCCTTTTAGCGAAGTTGAGAATCGCCTTGAGTCCAAGCTTCTTGACGTCCTGAGGGTCTAAAGTAATGGACCCCAGTATAGTCTGCCTATAGTAGCTCAGAGCTTCACAGCGACACAAAACGTGCGCCGAGGTCTCTTCCTCTACTCCGCAGCGCTCGCGCAAGGGATCGTCAGCCACCCCCATCACGTGCAGGTGACGCCTTAACGTGTTATGGCCAGACAACAGTCCCACCAGCAACCTTAGGTTGGCTATATCCAGAAATAGGCAGAAGCGTCCATCCTTAGCACTGAGCCCTTCAATGAGCTCTCGTGCCTGGCGGAGATGTCTAGAGATACTTCTCCATTTCTGAGAGTGTTGTCTTGCAACCCACGTCTCCATTTTACTCCTACCTTTATGAGCGGTCACTCCTAGAGCTGGCTCAGGACCAACGAGCTTGCTGGCTGATCCTGTTTTCGCCAGAGTGTCCGCCGTCTCATTGTCCCTTATCCCAGCGTGCCCCGGTACCCATATTAACGATACCGGATGCCTCGCTGCGAGGCAATCCAGAGCCTCGCTGCATTGCAATACAAGACTCGAAGTAATCTTACAGGCACTTAGTGCTTTCATTGCAGCCTGGCTGTCGGATAAGATTGTTATTCTTCTCCTAGGCCCACCCTCCTCCAGAATGTGAGATACACAAGAGAGAATCGCAAAGATTTCCGCCTGGAAAATGGTGGTCTATTCACCGAGAGGCAGAGATAGCCTAGTTCTAGGCTCAGAGACCCCAGCACCTGAGCCCTCTTCGGTGACCGAGCCGTCCGTGTACCAGACCTGCCCGCTCACTTCGGAGAGTCCCCGGCTACCGGCGTCCCACTCCTCCCTCGTTGGATACTCCACAATAAGCTTGTGGTTGTAGCTATATTTAGGGGTAATACGATCACCCCTGCTTAGAAGGACGGGGTCCTCCCTTTCTAATTCGTCTAAGATGGCAGTATGCCCCTTGACAGGATTCAAGAAAGCCCAGCTGCCCTGACTCCACAGTCGATGAGCGACTACTCTTGCTTCACCGCGGATCACCAGATCCAACGGTGGGAGATCCAACAGAGCTTCCATTGCACTCAATGGCGTTGTTCGCACTGCGCTTGTAATGCTAATATAGGCCAAACGCTGAATTTTATTGAGCTTGGCCTTAGTTGTCTAAGTTCTAATGCAAGGCCACCAGACCAGGGAGCCGTACAAGAGAGATGGACGTACTATCGTCGTGTAGAGCCAGTATACCACTTTGGGTTTAAGCCCCCACCTTACCCCGACAACACGTCTACAAGCCCACATCGAATTGCGAGCCTTGCTAATCTTGTATTCCACATGCTCTCTCCAGTTCAGTTTGCAATCCAGGATAATTCCCAGATATTTCACTGACTGGGACAAAACTAATCTAGTCCCAAAGAAGGTCGGCATGACCAGCCCGTCAAGCCTTCTTCTCCTAGTGAATAGGATCAGCTCGGTCTTTTCAGCATTAACAGAAAGATCGACTTCCCTACACCACGATTCCACGGAGCGCAGAACGCCCTGCATAATTTCCGAGACTGTTCTACAGAAACGCCCCCTAACTACTATGCTTGCGTCATCAGCATAAGCTTGCACGTAGACACTCATACTGCTGAGCCTAACGAGGAGTTCGTTCACCACGATACACCACAGTAGGGGTGACAGAACTCCGCCCTGAGGGCAGCCTCTAGCTACATTCACGCTACAGCTTACGTTATTCAGCATAGCTGTTGTTACCCGACCCTCCAGAGTAGAGAGGACCCAATCTATTAGGATTGATCCAACCCCGTGTCTAACCAAGGGCTGTCTGATAGAGTCGGTTGTGGTGCAATTAAATGCACCTTCAATGTCCAAGAAGGCCACGAGTACCACTTCTCGCTGATCTAGTCTTCTCCAGCGTGCCGACCAGATTGTGTAAGGCCAGATCAGTCGATTTTCCAGCTTGGTATGCAAACTGATTTGCATGAATGACACACCTTTCCAGCGGGCCATCCCTTAAGTATCTATCAACTATCCTTTCCAGTGTCAAGGAAGGATAGTCACACATTCTTTACTGCGTTTGTAACCAGAAGCTCCAGATTCTTGTTTTGTAGCTAAACTTATTGCCGGTAACATTTTATAGTTTAGCCCCGTTCCGTCGCAGTTGTAATTTTTTTCTGGATTTAAACCATACTGTTTCATTAATTCTTTAAAATGTTCTCCAGAATTCAAATCAGCGGACTTACGGCAGATAAGTTTTCTCCACAAACTTATAATTCTCGTATACCGTGTCGTTTTTTTCATCTATGCAGCCAACCATCACTGACTATTAAGTTATCAGGTGCTTCAATAACTGGCAATTCTTCACTTAAGTTGACTGTCTTTTGCTTTAGAATTAGTCCGCTAATTGGTATTCACGTTCTCGATTCTGTGTAAATCACACATATAAAGCATCATCCACTTTTTGATATTCCCCCTTTTTCATGGTTTTCCGTGACGGCTGCGATGATGTCAGAACACTAGACCAATTTTCAATTTTCTCGCGTTTGAATTTTTCTATTCCGAAATGGAACTCATGCCCACACCCAAACCACTTGCCACGTTTTTAAGCAAATCACCTCTATCTAAACGTCTGATTTCCTCAAGTTTCTGTTCTGTAGTAATAACAACGCGTTTACGTTTATTTCTATGCTGCTCCATCTTGGAGATTACGAACCTGACTGAAACAAACATACACGCACACATAGCAGTGAATTCCGCAAACGCACTTGTGGAATCACCGGCAGCGAATCTAATGACGCAAATGCCGAAAGTTGAACTACCGCCAGCTATTTCGGATCATGCGCTAATTTCCCGAACAACTTCGGTTAAAACGGAGAAATTATCGTATGCGATATGTTTCGGATAAAGCGGATTACGGATAAAACAAATTTCGGATAATCGCGATTCGAAGAATCGGGATTCTACTGTGTATACTAATCAAGAGTTTTGCCATTTTGGGTCAACCACATCTTCAATTCGATTATTATAAAATGGCGAAACAGCAATTGTCTTCTTGGAAACCAGTTCATTTTACCAGTACCGTTGTATTTGACAGTATTTTCTGATATGATCAGACTGTGTAAACGATGAATGAGAGTCAATCTACTTGACCCGTATGTCTTCCGTCTCTTCTTAGAAGCATTACTCATCATGCCTGAAGTATAGCTACCAAAGGCGTGTAGCAATCCGATCTAACATTCCAGAATTTCTATTTACCTACCTAGTTTACTTTCATTTGAAATCGTCTCGAAGATGAAAGGAGTGAATTTATTGATGTTTAGCTTGGCACGGTGTCTGCTTTTCACTTTTTTATTTGAGAATATCTCTAACCGTTACTGTTGACAATAGAGATTTCTAACACCTGGTGGTCAGACTTTTGATCAGAATATACACTTTATGCGTTTTCAGAGGTCATGTATCAAGGTCAGCTAAATAGTCTTAAACATATGTATATATCAGGAGACACAAAAAAGTGGTCCCTCCTTTCAACT